ATTTATGTTTTTTACCAGAATCTCATCGAATTAATTGTTTCAGGCGCTATTATGACCGAGAAACCGAATATTCGGTGGGATGATGTTGCTGGATTAGAGGTTGCCAAAGAAGCATTAAAAGAAGCAGTAATTTTGCCGATAAAATTTCCTCATTTGTTCACTGGCAAACGAAAACCATGGTCAGGCATCTTACTTTACGGACCACCCGGTACTGGTAAAACTTACCTTGCTAAAGCAGTTGCAACCGAGGCAAATGCAACATTTTTTTCGGTTTCCTCGTCAGATTTAGTTTCTAAATGGATGGGCGAAAGTGAGCGGTAATTATTACCGACGACAAAAATGAAACAAAATATTTTTGTCGTACAATGTTTTCTTTATTTATTGGTCTAATAACCAACATAGATTTGTATACTCCTCCAACTATGATGCATCATATACAGGCTAGTGAAAAATCTTTTTGCAATGGCACGTGAAAGTAAGCCCGCGATTATTTTTATTGATGAGATCGACGCTCTTTGTGGTCAACGCGGCGAAGGTGAAAGTGAAGCAAGCAGAAGAATTAAGACAGAATTCTTGGTACAAATGAATGGAGCAGCCAATGATTCTACCGGAGTTCTTGTATTGGGCGCGACTAATATCCCGTGGCAATTGGACGCTGCAATTCGGCGGCGTTTTGAGAAACGAATATACATTCCACTTCCGGAGGCTTCAGCACGGGCACACATGTTTGAACTGAATATAGGGGATACTCCTTGTGAATTAAAACAACAAGATTTCAAGACGCTGGCTGAGAAATGTGAAGGGTGAATTGAATTAAATTTTGATAATTCTTGAAATTTTTTTTTATACAAAAATACTTGATGCTGTTATTTATAAAGATATTCTGGATCTGATATCGCTGTTGTGGTACGCGATGCGCTAATGCAACCAATTCGTAAAGTACAAACAGCTACTCATTTTAAATGGGTAAGATGACGTTCTTTTTTTATTCTTTCATCTCTCTGTTCGTGAAGTAAACCTAATTTTCCACAATTTAAAGGTTGATTCACCTTCTCGAGATGATCCTTCCGTCGTTAAACCACACTTAACACCATGTTCACCAGGCGATCCAGATGCTAAAGAAATGACTTGGATGGAAGTCGAACCAGAACAACTCTTAGAGCCAGTGGTTGGAATGAGTGATTTCTTGCGAGCCATACAAGTATCGAGGCCAACAGTGAATGAAAAAGACATTGAACAACATACAAAGTTCACCGAAGACTTTGGTCAAGAGGGTTGATGATGGTGATGGCGAAGATGATGGTAATTATGATGATTATGAGATGATGATTTTATCATCCAACAAAATAAATAAAATTTATGATTGATAATTGACAATTTCATGCATTACTTTACGGAATTAGATGATGGGAATAGTATTTATTGTTGCTGTTGTTGTATACATATACATATACATACATACATACATACATACATACACATTTTTTATTATTAGACGGATTAACCAAAGAATGGTATTTAAGATTATTTTTATTTTACTTTCATAATTCGTTAGAAAATAAAAGTTTTATATCACAACGATAACACTTATAAGATTGTTTGATCTATGGTGGTGATTGATATCGAGTAAATATGAATCTGTAATTTAACTCGAGTTATAAAAATCTCATTTATGGCAAGGGGTATCGGTATGAAGAAAACGATGATCGGTAATGATATACATGTTGCCAGCACTCGCAATACGCGCATAGGCAATTTCATCAAAGGATGAGTGAGGACAGGGACGAAATAGGAATTAAACAAGAGCCGAAAATGCTGTAGAATATACAAATCAAGTGGAGTATTTGCCACCAGTTATTAAAAAACCCCTTATGAATCACTGTGTTCCAGGCGACATTGAACTAATTGAGGATATGGATCGTGAAAAAAATGATGGTGGCGACTTGCTCCGCGAATTATATATATAAACAAGATAAAATATCATGCTATGTAAGGTTAAAAGACGATCCTTTAGAATGGTGGTTAATAATACTAGTTTTCCTATTTAGGCGACTTCGATGCCGAGTGAACGATTATTTTCCGACGCTAGTAAACAATGGTGATTAAGGTTTTATTTTAAAACGTTAACAGCATCTTATGTCGAAATTTTATAATTCAGTCCATATATGAAATTGCTTTTTATAGTAGTGATCAACAATTTACAACAATTCTGGATTTTGTA